TAGATCCAGGAGACTTTGGGCTTGGTGGCTGGGTCTGGGGGGCGGGGCTTGGTTCTCTCTGGGGATGGTGGCTTCCCGGAGCTGCGGGACTCCGTGACGGCATCGTCCTCCTCCTTGGACTGTTTGGAGAGACGGGCGACCCGGGCGTAGAGCGCGGCGCCGGCCGAGCCCGAGCCGCAGGAGGAGCGTTCACTGTCCGAGGACTTGAGCAGGGGCGTTTCGCTGCTGTCGGCCGGGAAGGCTCTGACGGACCCCGTCTCCTTCAGGAAGGTGTATTCGCCCGCTTCCTCCCCGCCAGCTGGGGACACCAGCTTGTCCCCAGGGCTGGCGGGTGTCCCCCTGTCCCTGCTGTCGCCCACGCTCTCTGTGGGAGGAGAGCACAGGGGGGTCAGGCGGGGATGTGCCCAGGGAAGGGGGGGACCGAGATGCTCCCGCAGCACGGTGGGATCGCATTCCACCCGGTTCCCCCCGCAACCCCCGTGTGTCCCCAGGTCCCCCTGTTCCCTCCTCCCGCTCAGTGACACCAGCACAAGAGGGCTCTTAAACCAACCCTGGAGTAGCAAACGCCAGAGGAGGGAGCTCTGAAATCGCATGGGAGGCAACATCAGTACCTGCACCCCTTCCCAGGGCACCAGGGGCCAGGGCGACACGGTCCCCACCGTGCAAGGGTGACACCTCTCCACTGAGCGGGAGGTGGCCCCTGGCAATGGCCCCAAAGTCCCCTGGGGAAGAGCCCTGTCCCCCTGCTCACCTTCGTGGGGGACGCAGTACACCGGCCCCTCATCTGTGGTGTCGAAGGAGGAGAAGGAACCACGGGATGACCAGGATGGGGAAGGCTGCTCCACCACGGAGGGCGGCTCGATGAAGCTGCAGTTCAGGGTGTTCTCCAGGTCGTGGTGGGCCACTGGGAGGGCAAAGAACCACTGTCAGTGCCCATCCTGCCGGACCCCCCCAGTCTCCATGCTGGCTGGGAGGGTGGGATGCTGCACAGCTCCCCCCTGTCCAACCTGCCGGTGGGTCTTGGGGACAGGGACAGCATCCCAGGCATGGGCACAGCTCTTGCTGCGCATCCCCACCAGGTCCCCCAGCCAAGTGCCCACACGCAGGCCATCAACCAGCAATGGTGATGAACAGCATCCCCCACGCTTGGGGACAAGTGGCTATGGACAGCAGAGCCTGTGCCAGCCTTACACCTCCCATCTATCCCCCCTCTCCATGGCCAGTCTCCAGCTGCCCAAATCGAGGATGCACGTGGCAGAGGGATGAGCCACCCAAAACCCCACGTCCCACAAGGACCTGGTGAGTTCACCCATGAGCTGTGCAACCCAGCACGGCTGCCCCGCAAAGAAAGTCCCGGTGCTGTGACCGTCCCCTTCCTGGTGAAAGAAATGCTGGCTTTAATTGCACTAATTTCCACTTCAGGACCACCGTTTGCATTTTCCTTTTCCTTCTGCTTTCGCAAAAGCAGGTAAAAGGAGGGATGCCCAGTGGCAGGGGGATGCACAGTGCTGTTTTTTCCTAGCTCTGCCACTTTTCAATCCCTTTGCCAGCTTCTCCCATCCCGAAGCCGAGGAGGAGCATCCCCCCTCGCCCCAGCACTGCCCCCTCCGCCACGGGGGGCCGCCCGCAGAGAAACCGAGCGGAAGAGAAAAACCATCAGAGAGGAAAAACTTGGTGTTAAAAATAGTTTTGGTTTCAATGGTTAAAAAAACCCCACAAAACCAAAAACAATTAAAAAGCTGAGCAGTGACAGTTGTGTGGGCTGGGAGGGACTGGTTTTTGTGTCTGATCATTTTTTCAGGCTTTTTGCTGGGTAAGTTCATGTCCCAACCCACCCTGGGGGGTGTCCTGAGGTGCCCACAGCTTCAGCATCGTCCTCGGGGTACCCGCAGGACCGCAGCAGCACACAGCTGGCTGGAGGGGACCGATCATCCCAGAGAGCCGAGCACCACTAGACGCTCTTGTCCCCGTCCTTGCCTGCTGGCTTTTGTCCCCTGGGATGGTGGCAAGCTGCCCCCAAGCCTGGGCAGAGAGAGGGCTGCAAAAACCCAGCGCAGAGGCAGGTTCCCCCTGCGCAGCAGCTGTACATCAATATTTCCAGGTATTTGTGACCTCTGCCCCCACATCCCAACCATCTAAGTCACCTCACAATTTCCTGCTCGGACGGTTTGATTCTTGCACCACATCTCTGTTTTACAATAAAACGACTCTAAGTGTTATTGGGATGCCCATTGGAACATTTATTCTTTTTTAGGGAATCTGGCTTCAGAGATTAAAACGATGGCAGTGATGCGTGCTCGCCCCTGCATAGTTTGGCTGCTTGGAGAAAGACCATCTAAGTCACCTCACAATTTCCTGCTCGGACGGTTTGATTCTTGCACCACATCTCTGTTTTACAATAAAACGACTCTAAGTGTTATTGGGATGCCCATTGGAACATTTATTCTTTTTTAGGGAATCTGGCTTCAGAGATTAAAACGATGGCAGTGATGCGTGCTCGCCCCTGCATAGTTTGGCTGCTTGGAGAAAGGCGGAGGGGGGGG